TAATTTTGTATGACCTGAGAATGATGTTCTAAATATCCAAATGGCCCTTGGCAGAAAAAAGGTTCCCCACCCATGTCTTAGAGAATGGAGGGTGTAGTATGGATTTTTAAAAAAATATTTTTATTGATTTTTTACAGAGAGGAAGGGAGAGGGATAGAGAGTTAGAAACATGGATGAGAGAGAAACATCAATCAGCTGCCTCCTGCACCACCCCCCACCAGGGATGTGCCCACAAACAAGGTACATGCCCTTGACTGGAATCGAACCTGGGACCCTTCAGTCCTCAGGCTGACACTCTATCCACTGAGCCAAACCAGTTAGGACTGTAGTATGGATTTTAATACAGTAATATGTATATCACTTGTGATAAGATTTACCACGTGACTTGGCATGAAGTTGTATGTCATGTAAAAATGTTTGCACTTAATTTACAAAATATTTAGAAATACTTGCTTAGTAGAATTGTAAGGCTTACCATAGGCTTACTATAAAACTTAAAACTCAGTGTTTATGCCGAAACCGGTTTGGCTCAGTGGATAGAGCGTTGGCCTGCAGACTGAAAGGTCCCAGGTTCGATTCCGGTCAAGGGCATGTACCTGGGTTGTGGGCACATCCCCAGTAGGAGATGTGCAGGAGGCAGCTGATCGATGTTTCTCTCTCATCGATGTTTCTAGCTCTCTATCTCTCTCCCTTCCTCTCTGTAAAAAATCAATAAAATATATTATAAAAAAAAAACTCAGTGTTTATCTAAGATAAACATTTAGCAAACATTCACCAAATATTTGTCGAGGGCCTTCTGTGAGCTGGGCACTTGTAATTGGTTACAGCCTTGGATTTTGAAATGAATTTGCTTCCCTTTTTTTGTTCGTTTGTTGCCACAGTCCCAACCATGTGAGATCCTAGCTTAAATGTGCAAGAAGCTCATGTGATGGGTTATCAGTACTTCCCGAAGCATGCCGGGAAGGTCTCACTTACTGTTTTGGTTTCCTCTGGCTCCACTGCCCCACCAGTTCCCCTGCTGAACATGGTTTTGCTCCCAGCAAAAACATGTACACACAGCAATTAAAACCATACGTACTCACTTTTATGGAAATGGCAATACTAAAATTTGTTTTAATGTAGGCATGGTATAAAAGTAGATTCAGAGCAAATCTTCTTCAATAGGAACAGATTTCTGTTAAAATTGGCAAACAGTGACTGGCTTTTCTTGTGCACTTTGCATGGAGGCAGTGCGCTGTGATTGTTAGGGTCCCGTGTGCTGATTCTGGGATCTGAAGAGCCATCTTTCCTGGCTCCGAGTCCTCAAAAAGGTTAGGAAGCCTCTCTGTGCCTCGGTTTCCTCATCAAGCCATTGGGGGCCGTTGATGCCTCCTTACTTCATGGGATGGCCGGATGGTGAACTGAGATATAAAGTATGTTGCAGGAAAGGTTGCTCCTAGTCTCTGCAGTGTCACTGACCTCAGTCAGCTCTTACACTGCAGGTCATGGCTGTCTAGCCTGGTCAAGCACCCATCCTCCACCGTGACTTCACACCTTTCTCCTCTCTCCTCAAACCCCAACACTCCCTCTCTGTCCTAGGTTTCAGCTGCCGACCTGCTTCCTGTTTAATATAGAAAACAAGCAATCAGATGAAAGCAGCCCCTCCTTCCAGCTGCCCACCTGCCCAGGTGCTCTACCTTCTCCCCCAGTCCTGTGGGTGACTGCCCCCTGGGGCACTAGATTCCATCCCCTTATGCCACCTCCTTCCCTCTTCCAGATCAGATTGTTCCCACTAACTTATCAACATACTATTACTTTCCCTCCCATTAAAACAAACTAGCAAACACACAAAAGCTCGTCCTCCTGGCCTCCTCATGGCTCTGCCCACCTCGACTCTGACACTCCTGTAAAATCACAGGCCTCTGCATCTCCTTGTCCACCTCACTTTGCCCATGACTCTACTCATTTTACGCCCCCCCCCACCCCCACAGCGCTTACCACTTTCCAACACTATGCCTACCCCATTAGAGTGTGGACTCCACAAGGTAGACTAGCACCCGTTTTATTGCATCCTGGGCAAAGTATGTGCTCCAAAATATTTGTCAAGTGGGTGGACAGCTGTTAGCCACTGAGATAGTCTCGGACCTTTTATCATAGGATAATGCTTCACAGACACCTTCCTGCATGTGCCCTCCTTTGGTTAGGCATCACTTCAGGATTTGCATGCACCAAGTAATCGGGTGCCAGTGTGAGCTGGCCTCCTTACCCCTCCCTGTGCAGTCCGCTTCTTCTGATCCACATCCAGACTCTAGCACCACTGTCACCTGAGCTGGAAATCTGAGCATCCTGTCTTCCACATCCACCCAGAAGGTCATCAAGTCTTAATAGGCTCTTAATCTCTTTCACACCTCTCTCCTCCTCTCCTCTCCACCGCTGCCCCTTCCTCCTTGACCCCCCTGCTCCTTTACTCTTTACACTGCTGCCAAAGTCATTGTTCTAATATGCAGATCTGATGCTCCCTCTCGCTGTTTAAACGGTGCAGTTCCCGCTATAAGCTCTTACAGGATGCCATCCCACCTCCAATATCTGGGCCCACCTTCCCTCCCCCCAGCCCCACCCTTGCCTCCTGGAGATCCTCCCTGGACTCCAGCCACACCAAGTGACTCAGTCGTGGTAGGTAGTGGGCTGTGGCCCGCTCTTTGGGACTGCAGTTCACTCTGCCTGGAATGCTTGTCCCCTGGTCCTGCCAAATCACCGCTGGCCTTCCAGGTGGGGCTTCCTCCTCACTCTCAGGCACCCAGGGCTCCCGGGCACCGGTAACCCTCTCACTGCACTGCCGTTGTGAATTTATTGTCTGGCTCCTTACCAGGCTGTTCCTTTTTTGTGTTCCCGGTCAGTCCACCTTGCAGGTGGAACCTGGGATAACGTGCCACACTCAGTTTGTTGGATGAATGAAGGAGAGGGACCTGCTTTGAGTCTGGGCAGCCTTCGTCAAAATGATGTGGGGAAATCTCCAAGCCACACCGTATCATTCACTAATGGGGTGCCCCAGGATTTCCAAGTTGGGGCACTTCTGAGAGGAAGTCAATTTTTGGAAGAGAAGGGAGCCAGAAGCTACATATTTTGTGGAGTTTGATTAGCAAACATAGGCCTGTGAGGAAAGGAAAATTAACCATGAAATTGAAGGGACAGCTGCCAACTTACATTTAGTCCAACAGGGAAGGACATCACTGAGCTAGCTGATGCTGCTCATTAGCAATTTGCAAGGCAGGGATGGACAGGGGCCCCATGGGGTGTCCACAGCTGTCCAGGTGTTAGGACGTCTGAATTGAGCCCACTTCTCCTCAATGGTTGATGAGGCATGACATGGGGTTGCACCCCAGTTTTTGCCAGCAGGGGCTTTCACTTTCAGCTGTTTTAATCCTATGGTTCATTTCTCACAGCTGCTCTGAGGAGCCCAGGGCCATGCCACTCCAGGACAGGACCTTGCCTGACCCACTCAGCCAGTCTCCGTTCTTGACCTGGCTCTCCCCCTAATGCTAGCCCAGGCCCTTACCTGGCCTGCCCCTCATTCCAACCCCACAGGATTGTCAGGATGACGGGAATGGGCTTTGAGGAGCTATACCTGTGATAAAGAAATATGATGATGTTGATCCTGAGAAGAATATACCTGCCGAAAAGGACTCCTCATGGTTAATTAGGCTCAAATTAATAACCAGAGTCTAGGGGCCATTGTTTATATAGGTCCCTCATGTACACTACATTTCAGGGAAAACCTATAGACTAAGCTGTCAGGCTTTCTGCAGTGTCTTCTAGCTGAGCTGACTCTTATGAGAGCTCCGAGGATCAAAATTGGACCAGTGGGACTGAGACTTTCCCCATCCAATCAGGCTGCACAACTATATCCTCATTAGCATTTTCACTGAACCATTAGAGCAACTCCATTCCAACGAATCAGGACAGTGGTCTTTAGACCAACCGGTGAGAATTTGGAGTCCTTATTTGCATGAAAGTGGGCCAATCAGGGATCAGCGGTGGATACCTCTTTCTATATAAGTCTGCTTTGAGACTGCATACTTTCAGTTTACACCAAAGACATACTTGGGTGGCTGGAGTTACCGCAACAGTGGAGCTGTAACATCCCGTTAGGGTTGCTTACTGTTGAGTTGAATTGGCTATAACAAGCGACCTTCAGTTGACATTGGTGCGTTATGAGCAATTGAAGATCAGACAGGGAACTGCAGTTGTCCCTGACCTAAGTCAAAATTCAGGCCACATGAAAAAGTATGGGAGGTTCTGAGGAGCTACAAATGTGAGGGGCCTCAGGCTTGCAGAGCTTTCTTTTCTTTTTTTTTTTGTTAATCCTTACCTGAGGATATTTTCCCCCCATTGATTTTTAAAGAGAGTGGAAGTGAGGGAGGGAAGGGGGGTGAGGGAGGGGGGAGAGAGAGAGAGAGAGAGAGAGATGGATGAGAGAGGCACATGGATTGGTTGCCTCCTGCACTGACCAGGGCTGGGAATGGAACTGAGACCCTTCACTGTGGTGGGGGGGACAATCTAACCACTGAGCACACTGGTCAGGGCTGCAGATCTTTCTTTTTGAAGTGTTGTTACAAACCCATTAAGCATTAGGTTTGACAACAAAAATGCTTCACTGAGGGAGCCTGACAGAGTGATCTCGGTCTAGTGTAGGTCACTTCCTCTCTACTGAGCCTCAGTCTCTGGTCTGTAAATTAGGAATAAATGCCTCCTGAGTTACTGTGAAAGTTAGCAAAACCGAGGAACAATGATTGGACAGTGCCTGTCACACAGTAGGTGCTAGTATTTTTGTCCCCATGGGGGAGGTATTTGTAATCAGTGCTATAAATCACATGATTTGATTTGTCAAGAAAACCCCAGCTGAGGCCGGGTTCACACACACTCCCTGCTTTTTCCTGTAGGAGTTGACGCTTCCACTGACCCTGACTACATCCTGATGGGGATCCAGAGTCGCTCAGAATGTGGAGCCCTGGTGGTGACATCCAGGGGGTGGCCCGGGAACTCGCGCTGCCAGGCCCTCCTCTAGGCCATCCCAGCCCCGTGGTGGGTGGTCTTGGGCCCTAGGACTCCCCGCCGGCAAAAAGTCTCCGTGTCCTTGGAGATGGGTGACCGGCCCTAACGCTGGGCTGGGGGTCCAAGGGCCACGACTCTCAGTGGCGTCTGCGGCTGGGGGTGGGGTGGGTGTATGTGTGTGCGCGCGCGCTCTCCTTGAGATGGGAGATCTGGGAGCCGCGGATGCCAGGCAAGAAGACCAGGCAGAAAGGCGCCGAGGGTTACCGCCAACAGGTGGCTAGCGGGGCGGCCCCTTTAAGACGCCGTTCAGCTCCGCCCCGCGCCGCACCCCCGCCGGGAGCCCC